CTTTTATTTTCTTGATTCTAATCACGTTCACTACTCTGTACCTTTAGCCCACTCTTTCTCTCTCGCATGAAGACAAAAAGCTCATCACCACAACCAGACGTGTGTCCGATCTTGCAATATAGAGAGATGGAGTGATGGTAGTCCTTAAAACTTGATGGCCGAGAACAGACGCTACTTTTGCTATTTTAATTACTTTAGGCCATCACTGCTGGTTTCGTACATTTGCGAAAGCAGGCAGGCACACTCACATTATTCGAGGTTAGCATATGACTGGAACTAACCAAATCACATTATGCCTCATCAAAGAACTCAGATAGAGAACATATATACAGCATTTTGAGCATGATCTGGTTAGTTTTAATGACTCGTTTGCTTGAATATGGTTGTAAGGATGATACCCTGCTCTGATGAAGTCCGTCATTAGAAGGATGAAAGCTTGACACGTGTTAATCGGAATCGAAGGAGATCGCCTCGGAAACATCGTCATCAGGAATGTTCCAGTAAAGCCAATCAACAGCTGGTCTGGTGGGATCAACCTTCGAATCTCTTCACCTCCTACTTTCACTCAAAAGGGAAGTATGCTTAACACTTCTTTCCGCAAACATTATTTTTCTTTTCCTGTCTTTAAACTTTAGTGGAATATAAATCCTCATTACAATTCTCACGATTTGTGTTCCAATTTTCTGCCTCTATATAATACACTTTTTCTCAAGTCTTTCATTTCGCATGAAAGTGCAAGATCCAAGGATCCTGGAATCAAGCTCAGAAAAAGACGATGGATTATTTTCGTTGTTATGCAGGTTGTAATACGACGTTCATGTTGAAACAGTTAACATGACACTCCCTCGTTTCGGATGAAAGCGGGCTCAACTTTCGTCCGTCATGCCACTTAGCTTGAACTCATTCTTTCAAAAGTCATAAAGACTTTGTGAGTCAGTGTTAAATTTGGCCATTTACTAGAATGAAGTCCAATTCTGACGGTGTCCATCCTATTACGAACGAATTCTTGGCCCATTTTATACGAAATTAATGTCTCCACAACAATGTTATTTAAAGAAATTCATGAAAACCCAGTTATTCTTGAATATTGAATATAAAACTCGCTCCTGACATCATCAGACAGAGGCCTTTAAACAACAGGTTCTGTTCTCCTCCACCCCCTCCTCTTGAAATTGTTGATTGCTTACGCTAATTATTCTTGCCGGGTGAATGGGATGAAGCCTATTGAATGATTGATGAAGGCAAAAATCATTATGTGACCTCTTTCATTGGTAGTTTCCGCCAGGATGTTTGCTTGAGGGTGTTTACTTTTAGTCTCACGATCTGATACTACTAACTACAACCTTTTGATACTACCTATGGTGATAGTAAGAAAGGTGAGGACGCTAGTTGTCGTTGCGTGAAACGCGGTGTGCAGAGCACAGGTACACATGCTGTTGTTATGGCTCCACTTTAAGGGGTAGTGATGACCCAGCTTCATCGTTTGTCACTAGGCCGCCAGGCCGGTTGCACGAGTCTACAGGTCGACAGACCAATGGTGGCTTGAGTCTGCAAACTGAGTTGTCTCAAAGTCCGGCACCGATTGGCTGTCTGGAGAAGGTGGATGTGGACAAGAGCGAGGGCGAGGACGAGGACGAGGGCGGAGAAGAGGAGTTACCTAAACCAGTATCGTGTAGGGCCGAGGCAAGAGCCAAGGAGTGACGGGTCGTAGTCTCGGATTGGCAAGTGAACCGACCGGTCGGAAGTGAGCCTTCTCGGCTTGGCGACGAGAGCATAACAACTGCCACCACAACAGCCGTAACAGCCGTCATCACGACGACAGCCGTTTCGCCTCACCTGCAACAGTCACCGTGGTCCGGTACCAAACTTGTGCTGACAACGCTAGCCCTCCAGACATTCACAGCCACCACCATTTCACCGGTCGTTGAAAGTCGACCGGGTGGACGGCTGAACGGCTGAACGGGCGGGTGTGTTTTCAGCCCGACGTCAGACAGACTTTGCCTGCTGCCTAAGACCGGGCATAAAAGGGCAGAAGACACAAGAGGTCGGGCCACACCCAGGTTGCCGAGACGCGGTACCGGATCGATAAGGCGCGCAAACGATAGATAGAAGCGAGAAATAGAGATAGAGATAGAGATAGAGAAAGAGAGAGAGAGAGCCATCCCCGCCCCCAATCACACCCCAACTCACACCCCCAGTCACACTCCCGACCCCGACCCAGCACACCCCGCGCCCTTCTGGCGACAGGGCTCCAGACTGTGTCTGAGCTGTTCGACATTAGACAGTCAGTCTGACGTTTGGCACGACGTGTCACAGCCGCAGAGCATCTTCACCGACTTCCGGATCGCTTCAGTCTTGCTGGAAGTTCGCCTCGACGACCAGTTGCTACGTCTCCTCTTCACCGGCCGCGCCAAGGCCGATCTGACAACCGAGCTCAAACAAGGCCGGTGAACCGGCAACGAGGTCGGCCGCGTCTCGGGCGCGCTGGTAGCATGGCCCAGCTTGTCAGTCTCGTGTCGGAATGCAATCCTCCTACCAACCGCACGCCGACAGGCTCATCCCAGCCGTCATCTCGTTTCCCACCTCCGATTTGCCGCTGCTCAGTCCGGCCGCCGCCAACTCGGCCACTCCTCGAGCCGGAGCGCCCTCTTTCCTCACGCCCATCCTCTACTCCACCAACCTGGTGCACAGCCTCTTCTCGACAGGCTCAACCGGCCTCCTACCCCTCCATCACCACATCACACCTCAATCGCTCTGTCCGCCCCAGAAAACGCCACAACAACAGCCCCACCTCGTGATACCCCAGCAATACTGGCAACCGCAACCGCAACCGCAACTGCAACCACAACCACACCACCTTCATCACTACCTCCAACAACAGCAGCAGCAGCAACAACAACAACAACAACAACAACAACAGTACCAGGCGCAACTGCAACACATCCATCAGATCCAACAGAAGCAACAACAGCCTCAGCAGACTCATGAGAAACCGGTCACATTCTACACGCCGCCGTCAGGGGAACAGCATGACAAAGGCGCCAAGTTGGTGGAGCTACCGTTGGGCAGTCAGGAGGGACTGGCATTTCTCGAGACCATTCACGAAGAAGAGGAAGAAGAAGATGATGAAGATGAAGATGAAGAAGAAGAAGAAGATGATGATGAGGAGGAGGAGGAAGAATGGCAAGTGCGGAGGATGGAATCAGAGGGTACCGCCCACCTGATCGGTGAGCAAATGGACTTCCGAGTTCGAGGCCGGCCTCAAGCGAGACAAGCAAGGCACGAGGAGATAACTAGCCTGGCTTTTGACAAAATCGACAGAGACGGCGGATTTCTATTTGTGCCCAGGTTGGGTGTGATTTCGTCGCGGGACGAAGGCGCGATGAGCTGCGGCTCGGGGGCACGCATGGACTCGGACACGATAGAGTCGACAAACTGGACTGCCGGACACGTGCGCAGAAGAGCCGAAGAGGAGACGGCAAAAACGGACTCAAACGAGGCACCGTTCAGTTTTATCTTTCATCAAACCGCCACTCACAACCTCTTGGCTGCCCGGTCGGCTGACGTGAAAACCGAGTCAGATTCGCGAACTTGGCGCAGCTCAAATGACCCGACAGCCTCGAACCAAGTGGAACATCTTCACATGTCACCGCCGCTGCACGCAGACCGCAGGTCAGAGTGGATCGGAGAATTGTGCGATGGGCTGTCCCACCCGTCGCCAGCATCAGTTGCCAACGCCTCCAGAGAGGACGACATGTGTCGTCGTAGTCATGACGCCGCGAAGAGCCGCAAACAGGCCGCCATTTTGGCCAGCCCAAATCTAGAATTGGTGACTTCCAGTTCGGCCGCCTCTTCACTCGACGAATGCATTAAAACCTCAGACTATCAAAGTCACGAGGGCGAAGAGGACGAGGAAGAGGAGGAGAATGTCTACGATGACTTGGATCGCGAGTCTCTGTCACGGCGACACCAAAAGCGCACACACTCAAAGCATAGCTTTGAAGGTTGCCATGACAGCGGAAAAATGGCTGCCTCCTCCGAGATGACCGGTCTCTTAATGGACCTGCCTCAGGGTGACAGAGGCTGGCGCCAAAGCGGCAGTCTGACCTGTTCTTCACTGAGTCAGTACGACCTGGAGCAGGAGGCTGAGGAGGACGAAGTGGACGAGGAGAAGAGCGAAGAGGCGATGAAGATGAGCACAAGAATCTCATGCCAACGGAGAGATGGCTATTTCAGGTTGACGAGAGAGGAAGAATCAGTGGAGGAGGA